TATTACAATGGAGCATCTAAACGACCTAGATTTGGCGGATGACGTTGCTTTAGTATCACAACGGCGTTCTGACATGCAGAGTAAGCTCGACGATCTCGCCGAACGCTCCTCAGCGGCAGGTCTCAACATCACCGTCAGCAAGACTAAATCGTTGGATATCAACACGGGAAATCCATCCAATTTTACGGTAGCTGGTCAGGAAGTGGAGAAGGTTGAAAGTTTCCAATATCTTGGCAGCCAGATAGCGTCGGACGGCGGAACCAAGAGTGACATAGGTGCACGGATCAAGAAGGCAAGGGCTGCTTTTGCGAGTTTACGAAACATCTGGAAGTCAAATCAGATTAGTCTCCGCACGAAGATCCGAATTTTCAACTCTAACGTGAAATCTGTACTGCTGTACGCTAGCGAAACATGGTGCGTATCAGCGGAGATCACACAGAAGCTGCAGGTGTTCATCAACCGATGCCTGCGGTATATAATTCGTGCTTGGTGGCCTCACAACTGGATTTCGAATGCCGAGCTCCATCGACGGTGTCACCAGAAGCCGATATCGACAGAAATTCGGGAACGTAAGTGGAGGTGGGTTGGCCACACTCTACGGAAGAGCGGAAATGAAATCTGCAAACAAGCGCTGGATTGGAATCCAGCCGGACATCGCAGCAGAGGCAGACCCAGGGGCTCATGGCGGCGAAGCCTAAACAAGGAGATTAAGCAAGTCGACCGGAATTTGACCTGGGCCCAGGTCAAGGCGAAAGCAAACAATCGCCCAGGATGGAGATCTTTCACGTTGGCCCTTTGCGCCAGGGATGGCGCTCAGGACACTTAAGTAAGTAAGAACTGGGAAGAATACGACCGTTACATCTCCGAGCTGACAGACGATAACCCTTCTACCACGATGGAGGAGCTGGAGGAATCCATCCGCAAGGCGGCCACGGCCTCCATACCGAAGACCAGCCCAAACACTGGCCGGAAAGCACTCCACTGGTGGGGTCCCGAAGTAAAAACAGCCGTTAAGGGTAGGAAGGACCACCCGGACAAGAGACAGGCCATAGAGCTCTACCGAACCAAGCGCAACGAGTGCCGCCAGATCATAAGGGACGCGAAAAACAATAGCTGGAACGAGTTCCTAGACAGCATCAATGCCAACCAAACTCCAGCGGAGCTCTGGAGCCGGATCAATGCCCTGAACGGGAAAAGAAAGGCCAAAGGGTTAGCCATCAGGCTACCCAACGGCCTCACCCGAGACCCTGTCGTCATCGGCAACTTACTCGCCGACCACTACGCGTCGCTATCCGCCATCGATCGCTACGATAGTGACTTCCTACACCGGAACAACGCGACGAAACGGTCCATCGCCACCATCAAAATCCCGGAAGACGATCCTCCACTTCCAATCAACGCCCCATTCAGCCTCGCCGAGCTCGATCTTGCCCTGAGTCGGAGCAAGGGAAATCCGCCGGCCCAGACGACATTGGATATCCGATGCTACGTCATATCCCGCCCCGGACTAAAACCGCTTTCCTAGACATCCTGACCGGGCATTGGATGGGCAACACAATACCGGACTCGTGGACGCACAGCCTGGTTGTCCCCATACCTAAGCAAGGCCAAGAATCTACGAATACCAGCAATTACCGTCCAATCTCGCTGATTTGCTGCCCCTGTAAAATCCTAGAAAGGATGGTAAACCGCCGACTAATGCGCCACCTGGAGGACAACAACCTGATTGACCATCGACAGCATGCTTTCCGCCCCGGCCACGGAACCGGAACATATTTTGCCGGCATTGGAGACGCCCTACAGGAGGCGACTAAAGACGGCATGCATGCTGACATCGTGTCCCTGGACCTCTCTAAGGCCTATAACCGTGCATGGACTCCGCGGGTAATCCAACAGCTAGCAGACTGGGGCCTGGGTGGGCACCTGCTGCACTTTATCCGGAACTTCCTAAATGGTAGGACTTTCCAGGTAATGATCGGGAACCAGCGTTCGTCTATCAAAGAGAAAGAGACTGGTGTCCCCTAGGGCTCCGTCCTCGCGATCACCCTGTTCGTCATTGCCATGAACGACATCTTTCGATCTTTCGGGAAAGGAGTATACGTTTACGTATATGCAGACGACATCGTTCTCCTGGTTATCGGCAGCTCTTTAAAGAACATCCGCAAAAAGATGCAAGCAGCAGTCTCGGCCGCCACCAGATGGGCAAACCGATCCGGGTTCACCCTGTCTGCCGAGAAGAGCGTGTTATCACACATTTGGAGATCCAGGCACAATCCTCTGCCAACAGCCGTCACCTCAAACGGAGTCCCGATTCCTGCCAGGAAAACTATAAAGATCATTGGTGTTCGCTTAGACAGGCCTCTAACCTTTAGGGACCACTTCGCTGACATCAAAGCCAACTGCGGCACCCGGCTCAACATCCAACAAGCACCAACAGGGACGTCTTACTATGGGCAGCCGTAGCGACGGTTAACAGCCGCATCTTCTACGGCATCGAAGTTTTCTCGACAGCCACCGACCTCCTGAATCGCAGTCTAGGACCAACCTACAACTCGGCTACCCGAATCGTTGCTGGCTTACTTCCATCTACACCGGCCGATGCGGCATGCATTGAGATTGGAGTACTCCCCTTCCGGTACAAAATCGCCGAAACGGTTTGCTGTAGAGCAGTCTGCTACCAGGAGAAGACATCCGGTAATACCGAGGTCTCCCTCCTCAGGGAGGGGAGGAGAACCCTCAGCTCTTTCGCCCATCGAGACCTCCCTCCAGTATCCAGAGTGCACTGGAACGGAGCAAGGGTATGGGACGCTCCAACCCTAAACTCATCTCAATCGGGCAGAAATTCAAAGCAGGAACCAACTCCGCAGCCCTACACGCGCACATCGCAGAAATGCTGGCCCGGAAATACAGCAATCACCAGCACCGATACACCGACGGTTCCAAGGCGCCTACCGGAGTAGGCTTCGGGGTTGCCGACGCCGACTGCAGGACCTTCTACCGCCTCGCAGACGAATGCTCTGTTTTTTCGGCAGAAGCAGCCGCCATTTTTATGCCATTTCCACCCCTGCAGACAAACCACTCTGCATTCTTTCTGACTCCGCTAGTGTCCTAGCCGCCCTCAGGTCCCCAACCTCGAGGCACCCGTGAATCCAGGGTATACAGAAGCAGGCCCCTAGGGGCTCGGCTTTTGTATGGATCCCGGGGCATTGTGGCATTAGGAGCAACGCGGAGGCTGACCACCTCGCAGCTTCAGGCCGACACGGACGAATGTACACCAAAAAAGGACCTGACCCAGATGTGAAGAAACACGTTAAACAAACCATCCGCACCGCCTGGTCCCGAGACTGGGCCAATAACCGGACGCTTTTTATCCGGAAGATAAAGGGGAAAACCCACAAGTGGGCAGACACACCCAACTGGCGCGACCAGCGCACCCTATCTCGCCTCCGTACCGGACACACCCTCTCCACCCACAACATGGGAAGTGGGGGTCCCTTCAGAAAACAATGTGACTCATGTGGTATCACCAACACGGTGGAGCACATAATCATAAACTGCCCATGTTACCAAGGACCCAGGGAGCTCTACGGGATCCAAGGAAGCATAAGAAACGCCCTTTCCAACGATCCCTCAGCAGAAGCGGCCTTAATATGCTTTCTCAAGGATTCCGAACTATACTCGGTCATATAGGAACCAACGCGGATAAGGCCTCGGGCATCTGGGGCCCCTCCATTTCGGGCAACCTCGGTAGTCCGAATTTGGGGGCAACCCCCCTGGAGCCCGTTGGCAACCTCCTACGAAAACTAGCCAACAAAGGAACGCCAATCAACAGGAGGAAACAACCAGGAACCAGGAATTAGACCGGGGTCGTGTGATAACCTCACAATCCCCCCGCCGGAAAGTGGAAGCCCGGATAAGGCCTCGGGTAGCCGAGCCCCCCAGTTCGGACGTCAAGTCCAAGCGGACTTGGAGTACTTCCCCCGGCACTCGTTGGCAAACTCCGCAGACCGCCACCGCCGACTCGCAGTTCCCCCATGCCGCTTAGTAAACCAAACACCAACACCAAACCAAACCAGTATTGCCAATAGGGGATACTGAGCAATACCTGCAGTCAGGTGAATCACCCTCCACGTAAACAAGAAACCCGATACCCTCTGATAATGTTCTTTTTACTCTTTCCGATATTCAAACGCAACCACGAGACACACCGATGACCGAACACCGCCACGACCGAGGAAAAAACCAAATGGATATTCAACTACACCACGACCAGCAAACACATCTACACCTGAAGACCGGCCACGCATACGAAACATGACCCTCCAATTGACCACCGTACCTAAAACCACGCCCGGAGAGAGCGACAGCCATAAGACAGCCTTTTATACTAGTTTAGAGCTAGCGCCAGCCTAATTTAGAATAAGCCATTTTCTTTGTCCTTGCAACTCCCTTCTGGAGATTGCCCTCACCAGTCTCAAAAATCCCGTATGGGATCATTATTAGGGCCCATTCACAACTTTGTAATTTGGGAAGCCGGGTTTGGAGGCGAACCAGCCTGATGTAGGGATTATAGTAGTCAATAATGATTAATTTGGAAAAACGGTACGCTTTCGTAAAAAAAGTTGCTTTTGCACTTAAAAATTGCTACAACAAATTGTTTAGTCTAATTGCTAAAAAAAAAAAAAAAAGTTCGTTTGGTTGATAGAATTCAAAATATATTGCAATTTAAGTATTTGGATTTGTATGTTTATGCCAATATACAGTTTACACGCTATTCTCAGGCTACCCAGTGGCTGGGTAGATTGCACCCATTATTGCCTGACGTATGGAGTTGTCATAATCTGGGTAAACCAGTTTTGTGTAGATGAGTAGGATCTACCCAGATTCTGGGTAATTGATTCTTATAATAAAAATGCATAAAGTTAAAATGGCGCGGCGTTGAAAGGTTGATTTTTGTGTACGTTTGCATTTGCATAATTACCGTTTAAAATCCAATTAAAATGGATCAACTACGGAATAATTTGGATAGTGAAAGTTACCAGCAGCTGGTTGGTAAGTACATTATAATGTGTTAAACATTAAACTTCATCTTAACTCCTAATTATTCAGGCATTCAGTGCCGCATTCCTGGCTGCCTAATGTTTGTTACTGGTAGGGAAACAATGTACAAACATCATTTGAAATCCTACCACAATGTACGATGCAGCGTTCGAAATGATATCCCCATTGCTTGTGGTAATTGCAATGTCGTATTTCATAATTACAAAAACTTTCGCCGACATATCATAAACAGTCATCTAGAGCCTAACGCGTTTGATGATGTTATGGTTGATAAAGCTAGTGAAGCAGATTTCCGGTCTAGTCCAGTTCAGTTTGGCATCCATTCGGACCAAGTAGAACCAGACGTGATTAGCGATATTATCAACCCCATGTATTTCTGCGATCCCGTTGGAATGGATCAAGTAAAAAATCAGGCGGTTGAACTAATAACCGAATTACGCTGTGATGTCAGTTTGCCGGAGAGCAAGCTGATAAAAATGATGGATGCAACGACAAATTTGTTGAACAATTACCAACGGTTTGTTTTGGGAAATCTGAAGGAGTTTGCGGTAAGGAAACGTATTAGTGAAAAAGACGAGGATTTTGTTGATTTAGTAAATTCGCTGGAGCTTAAGGACCCTTTCACTGATGTAAGAACACCCGAAAACAATTTGTCCTATTTGGCGTACAAATCGGATGGCTCTGTGCCCACCGTTCAAGAAATCGTTCTTGGCTGCCGAACTTTAACTGAGCTCATTCCTCATCCCTCGTCACATTTGAGATTTGGACGGGCGGCTATGATACGCAAATCAAGGATAGTGAAGGATGTGGTTCACTATATACCGGTAGACAAGATCCTGGAACTTGTCATGAGAAGCCCTGAAGCACGAGATTGTGTGCTAGCTGAAAGGCAACATAACGAGTTGATAAGTGGTTTCAAAGATGGTTCACTGTTTAAGAGTCAAGATATTTTTAAAGATTATCCATGTGTGCTTAGACTTTTGGTACATTCAGATGAAGTTGAGTATTTAAATCCTTTAGCTTCACGAAAAGGAAAAAAGAAACTCACAAACATAAGCTTTAAGATTCAGAACTTTGACCCTATTGTGAATTCTACTCTCGATCGTGTATATTTTACACTTACTGTTCAATCTAGTGTTTTGAAAAAATACGGGTACGTCAAAGTCTTGCAACCTTTACTAAATGACCTTAAAACTCTAGAAGCTGGTATTGAGTTAACGATAGGAGAATTTCACTACAATTTACATGCTGTATTGGTAAATGTCGTCGGCGATACTGCAGCTTTACATGAAATTTTTAATATTATGGGTTCTCAATCCAAAATATTTTGTAGAGTTTGCTATATTTCTCGTGATGATTTCAGGGCAGGCCATTTCGGAGATTTTTTCCCTCACAGAACACCAGAATCTATTGAAACTGATTTGCAATCAATTCGTGATGTAAGCAAAACAGCAAGTCAATGCGGACTGATCGAGGAATGCTGTTTGAATACGGTTGGCTACTTCAACTATGGAAAGGATCGGTCTATGGACCCCATGCACGACTTGTGTGAAGGAGTTAATATGATGGTCATGAAGCTCATACTTCGCAATTTGGTGACTGTTCGAAAAATACTAACGTGTGAACATATCAATCAAATCATACAAGATTTTGATTATGGCATATGCGAAGTTGAAAATAAACCATCCGCAAACTTTTCATTAGCTACCCTCAAATCTCGAACTAACTCAATTTCTCAATCAGCCTCGCAGTGTTGGCTTCTGTTACGTGCTTTCCCTTTCTTGTTTCATAAATTCATTTCAGCCAATCTAAACTATGTACAAATAATCGGTGTTCTACTCAAGATCAACTATTACTCGTTTTCAAACAAATATCGTTTGAACGAGATACACGAATTCGAGCTCTCAATTCACCAATTCCATCAATTGTTCCGAATATGCTTTCCTGGCACAAATCCCATAAATAAAATACACCATTTATCTCACTACCCAGAGCTAATCTTGACGAATGGAACATTAACAAATTGTTTTGCATTTGAGGCAAAATTTAAAATTTCTAAAGGCCAGAGTAAAAAGTGTAACAATTTCAAAAATCTTACTTATAGCATCGCAAAAAGAATGAATCTTAAACAAACCGACTCTATTATCAAGCACAATTATGCCTCAAAAGTTCATACTGTTATGACGAGCCAAGAAATTGAAAGGTCATGTTTGCAATTTTCAATACTCCTCTTTGATTTTCCTCCGAACATCACTGTTATTACCCATTTAATAATCGATAGCACTAGTTTTCGACCAAGAATGGTAGTTAAATTTGAAGTTTGTGATATAATACAATACGGCATTATAGAAGCAATAGTAGTTCATGGCGAAGAATTTACTTTTGTGATTCAAAAGCTGATTGTTTCAAGATTAAATGACGATATGTACAGCTTGGAAGTGAAACACACTGATGAGTTACTAAGAGTTTCAAGCTTAAAAATATCTACGAGAAAAGCATATAGTTTGTGGAGAAGGTCAGGAGTAGATGAACATTTCTCATACATAAGTCTCAAGTATTACGATGATTAAACAATGAACATCAAATCACTTCAATTCAAACAAACAGTAAAGAACAGGTTAGTATTTATGTTTGGCAAAACATTGCATGAGTGTTCACTTAATTTAATAACGTTAACAAAATTTTTAATTTCATTACTAAGTAATGCTCAGTTTTTCATTTAAAATTACTAATGGCTGTCCTTAAACTAGCAACAGGAATGAAATAGGGGTTTTCCATGGTCACGATTTATTTAAAATAGTTATACATGGGAGATTACATATATAAGCAAACTTGTTAATGACGTTGTTTATGGACAGCCCGTAAATCTAGATCAACAATAGAAAAGGGCCCATCAGCATTTGTAAACAAACCGTTCCAAAGCCCATTCATCACAAATCGAAGGCCGCCCACACAGACCAACACCATCATCGTGTAGGTAGAAGTTTCCCCATCCGATGATGGTGTTGGTTTGCGTGGGTGGCCTGCGCTTTGTGCGTAAAGGGCTTTGGAACGGTTTGTTTACAAATGCTGATGGGCCCTTTTCTATTGTTGATCCAGAAATGATCATTAATATTATTTAAACATAATACCAGGCTTGATGCACAAAAAAAAAACACACTCTTCTTTTCAGCTCACAAAGTAACCGACCAATCTCTTCGGATGTTTGAAGACGCAGATCTTGTCGACATCGGAATCACCGCTAAACGACCACGGAAGATAATTCTTGCCTCAATCGAAAACATACGCGCAACACAGCTACATCCAGGTGAAATCGAATGCTCCCCTGAAGAGGTATTAGAATCTTAAATATAGTTCGCAATCATTTTAATATAATGTTGATTTTTTGTTGTTTATTTTAGAATCTGAGAGCTGTTCTTATCGAAGATGTGAAATTCCGGTTTGTTGTGTATAATGAGCTGGATCAAAACAAAGTACCCAATGAAAAAAATCTTCGTTCGATGATTCGTATCTTGTATCAGCAGTACGAAAAAACGATTTTCGATAGTAAAGGGTAAAATTAATATACTAAACCAGGCCAAACAATACAAAAGAGCCAATTGATCGATTCTCTTCAACGTTTCTTGTATTTTTATCGTATTAGGTGCTAAATAATCACGTCTTCTAACGGTGCAAAAATAATAATAATTCAAGCTGAACATTGAATTAGGTCCTAAGTAACATTGACAGATTCTCTTCATCGACTTTCTCTTTGTATCCCCATGGCCATCTAAAGGCATTAGGGGAAACGCTCCTATAGTTGCGGTACGTTAGTAGCGTTAGGCTCCTATAGTTGTGTACGGAGTCCCCATACACAACTATAGGAACCTAACGCTTCTAACGTACCACAACTATAGGAGCGTTTACCCTACTAGGTATTTTCAGCACACAGATCGATAAAAGAAGGTTTTATCTACCATCCAATACGACAAACACAACAAGGAACGGTTATGTGCACAAGCTATTAACGAAAGAGAAAATCGACGAAGAGAATCGATCAATGTTACTTAGGATCTAATGCAAACTTCAGCTTGAACTATCTGTACATGACCGTGATGATCCATAGATAAAATCGATCAAAATTAATGCATCTAAATAAATCACTATTCAAGTCCAAACGCAATGAGCATGAGCATAGAAGTAGAACGGGAGCGACGTGTTTGGTATTTATTGACATGTTCAATGTTCAGTTAATATTGGTATTATTTTAATCTGTTGGATTCAACAAGCAAGTTGATTCGAAAAATAACATTATCGCTTCGATTCAACTTATGCTATCAGTGCGCCAAATAAACAACACAAATTAATAACGTATTTTTAATTCATTATAGCTACCCTTCTACCAACGATCAGTGGCAGCTGGCCAAACGAATTGTTCGTGTATTTCCACAGTTGAAAAGCACAAGGATTAACGAAAATGCCCCAGATGAGGTAAATAAATATTTTAAACTGATAATTTGCCTATGAAGCATCTTTTTTTGGGATTTTTTTTACAGTCTGCGTTCTTCTGGTGGCACAGCGGAAAAGTTTCGGGTGATCATTCCGGTTATATCTTTCATCGAGTTCGTAACATTGCGAAATCGTTACCGAAGGAACTAAGGAAGTATAGTCGACCTGATTTAAAAACACGTGATTTTATTCCTACATTACTTGTCCAACGTGCTGCGAACCTGTCTGAACTAATTGCGAATTCTGAAAACATTGCCGAAATTAAGAAGGGAATGGAGGAATGCTTCCCTCTTCACCAACTCTTACTGAGAGAGAAAAAGAGCGTTAAGGAAATACTCCTCACACTACCACATTTGACATCATACAATGGCTTGATGGTAAATATGAAAATATATTGAAAATTATTTTGCATGTACCAATACTCTTTTTCTGTTCAATTCCCAATGAATAGATCAATGACGCATTTTTTCGCATGAATCCTCAGGTATCGAAGCAGCATGCAATGTCTTCTATTTTGGGTAAAGGACTTCTGTTGGCACCTGGAATATTCAGGAGCGTGGAAGATGGTAAATGAAATAAAATGTTTGCTTAAAATAGAAATGCTACTTAACATATTTTTTGAATAGTTCAAGTCAAAGGAGCGCTGAGAATTTATGCTAAGCTGCATAGAAAAGGCGTAAAAAGTTCATCAGGAGAAGCAGGCCCCAGTAATGGAATGCTAGCAGAGGAATTACTTGTTGGGGCACTTGTTCAATGGACACAGGTAATTTATGTTACAGTTTTATGTTATCACAACCATCAATTTAAAACATTACAATTTTTAAGGATCTCAAACATCACGTGGACAACAAGTATGAGGGACCACACATCGTGTGTGAAGCACCTATATTCAAATCTGGGTCGTACAGGATTATATTTGACAAGGTGGTGCTTTCCAGCAGCGAATCTTTCATCGATACGCTCGACTTGTTTTGGAAATGTTTTCAAGTCTTCGGTGGAAGAGTCCCCATCAAGCTCCAAATGTATCATGACGTTTTCTCAATTTTGATTTACAAAACTCAAACAAACAGTTCCCGAAAGTGTGTAAACGACATTTGTTTGGTTTTGAAGGAGGCTATTCAAGCCGAGATTCAAGCTGAAGAATCTTAAAACCAAGCCTAAAATCGTTGAAAGCTCTGTGGTTATTTTAACATTTATATTTAAACGCCATTCTTACGATAATATAAATAAAAAAATCTGAAATACTCGTATATTGCTTCATTCCTTCTTTTTGTGTTAAAGAAATTATGTGTAAGTATTTTAAATGTTTTCAACGGTTCCACATATTTTTTCTGTTAAAATGGGTAAAGTCTACCCAAATGACAAATGTCATCATCTGGGTAAACTTCACCCAGATTTCTTTGCAAGCCCGTTTACCCAAATTTGGGTAAATACTGGTTTACCCAAATTTGGGTAGGTTCAGTATTGGCCGAACTGGGTAGAGTTCACCCATTTTTGGGTAGTTTCATAATAGCGTGTATGGCTAAAGGTACCGAATCCCATACGGTGGCTAATTGTCATGAAACGTCGAAGAAAAGAGAAGAAATGACGAGAGGGATAGAAAGAGAGAGGAATAGCATTAGAGCTTCGTGTCGACGATGGTTCGACCCGATAATCAGTTTGGAAAATACTTTTCAAGAGTGTGGACGCATGTAAAAGATGCTGAGCTACGCGGAGTGCAGTCGTAGTCACAGTGCCGGAGTTCACGACAATGGCACAGTCGGTAAGAACCGCACAGTTCCTAGCAGGTGAGTTTCCTTTAAATCGTTTTTCCGGCAATTTTTTTTTTCAAGAAGTGTATGATTATGCTCGGTCACGTAAAACAAAATAAAAAAGAGAAAATTAAAAAAAAAGTTAAGTCCAAGAAAAATAAAAATGGCGTCTATTTGGAGCATGATGGTGCAGAAATTGCACCATCGAATTTTTCTTTGCGTTTTTTTCCGGTTTGAGTTAAAAAATCTCCCCCACTAGAGGAGAAATTGTTTTCGGCTAGTGTGCAGTGGTTTTTTTTTTTAGTGATATTTGCTCGGTGACGTGAATTTTTTATGTAAAAGTCTGGACTCAGAAAAATGGCATCGATTTGGAGCAGGAGTATGCGGATAGTGCATCATCAAACGGCTTGGCGAGTTTTTCTGTGCGTTTTTTTTTCAATTGAGCTAGAAAATTCTAACCGCTATAAAAATTGTCTTCGTGAAGTGTTCAACTATTCCCACCGTGATTTTTTCTCGATGACGTGAAAAATTCTAGAAAAATCTGGGCGCAAAAATGGCGTCGATTTCAATAATAATTCCGTACGAAAAAAAAAAAAAAATCATGCGTTACGCACCACACTACCATAAAATTTCATGCGTTATGCTCCACCTTCATGCCAACCACGATAATAATATAATCAAATTTTCCGTTGCCGACTTATTTTCATTTATTGTCGTATTTCGTTGCATATAAAAAACGTCGTTACTTTTCAGCTGCGTACTACGCTGACCACGCTATGGAGTTGTCCATATGCACAAAAGTGTGCGTGAGACAGTGCCTCGGAGTGCCTTTTCGAGTGGTTGTGGTTTCGCGGGATGCCTGAAGGGGTTGTCTTTTTCTTTTTTCTCCCCTTTTTGTGGTGCACCTCCGCGTAGCTCAGCATCTTTTACATGCGTCCACACTCTTGAAAAGTATTTTCCAAACTAATCATTATTGACTACTATAATCCCTACATCCTCCTTCTCCTGTACTCTCAAATTAGTATGGACTGTTTTGATGACTAATACATACAAAGCACCATCTTTGTGTATTAAATGATAGTTCTAGGTATAGGGAAAAGTTTAAACTAAATATTTGTACCACTTTGAGAAAATAATGTAAACTTCCGCAATAGCTAGCATCCACGTTATTAAGGCTAGGTTTGATATAAAATTGCATGATATTTCGTGTACATTTAATTTGATTTCAGGCAATCAGAACTGTGTAAACAATCTTGAAACAATTTCGTTGTTTAATGCCAACCTCGATAACAATTTTTGTTCAAAACAAAAACAAGGGGAGACATTAATAAATCATATTTTGTTGTTTCTGACATCACTCACAACCAGATGGCCAGGCGCCTTTGGATGCATGGAACTTTTAGAAAGCCATTTAAAATATACGGAGACTTCCAGGCTCCATTCATCATCCTCCCCATGAAGAACTTCAAATGTCAAAAAGGTACACGAGCCAATTACTATGGTGATAAGGCACTTTCCTTTTTCTTCTGTAATGTTACATTTAGTAAGAAGCCACGGATCCTCAGACACTTTCCACACCACAAAAATGACCCTCCCACCACTTGAGGGGCGACATTTCTTGGATCTGAGATTTAACTACCACCCAAATTATGTGATATATTGGCGGTTAAATTTCAGAACTTTTTGTATACTACTAATTCGTTGAAGATTGCATTCTTCTCCGTAAGCAAAGCATGATGTAATTATTCAAATTTATACAGAAAATCGATCGAAATGGGATATATAAACATACTCACTCTTTAAGTTTGCTGATTCGAATCGGTGCTACATTTCTTGACGTTTCGTTTGGCTGTTATCGTTCATAAATATAAGTACCTATACTAACGATCTTCAATCAATTGAATTCAATCAGTTCCTGTTTTCGAAAGTCAATGAAGATAACAAGGAACAACAGGGGAATGAAGTAAGAAACGATAAGGTAGGATGAATTAAGAAGTAAAGAAAAAGTTTACCATTAAAAATTGTCTTCACAGTGCCCATTCAATTTTTATTAACATTAATCTGGAACAATTTCAATCAAAAACACTGTATACGAAAATATCCCTGTACCTTTCAGGTTTCTTGATGCACCTTTTTGGTCTGTTAGGTTCCAACGAAGCCATCCCTTCCTTGACAGATTCCCGAAGGCTGCTATCGATATTTTTCGCCTGCTCTTCATCATAGTCGTCCACTGTTTTAGTGACAACATCATCTTTCTCCGAATCTTGAGTAAAGGGTGTCCACGATGAAATTGCCACACTATGAAATTGCTCCAACTTTTTAACCGTTGGGTAGAATTTAATGAAAATTTGGGTGGATTTAGTTCAAAGTGCATTATTTACATCCTGCAAGTTTTAAAGTCCTGTGATCAAAACTCGCGGAAATGGAGTCGAAAGAACAGCTCGTGCGTGATAAAATCTTGCGCATTCATCACGAGAACAAGGATCTCTCGCATCGTTCCATCGCTAAAACGTTGGGAATCGCGAATTCCACGGTGTCGCGAGTGATTAAGCGGTTCGAGGAACGGTTGACCACCGATCGGAAGCCCAGAAGTGAAGGAAAAAGTATTCCGTACAACACCAAAAAACACAACCGCGTAGTTGGGGCCTTCAACCGAAATCCGAACGCCTCCGTTAGGGATGTGGCTAAGAAGCTGCACCTAAGCCGAAGTTTTGTCCAGAAGGCCAAAACTAAGGCTGGGCTTCGAACGTTCAAGGTACAAAAGGCCCCTAATCGCGACGAGAAGCAGAACAAGTCCGCCAAAACCCGTGCCAGGAAGTTGTACCTCAACATGCTGACGAAAGTTGAATGCTGCATCATGGACGACGAAACATATGTGAAGGCCGACTTCAAACAGATCCCCGGCAACCTGTTTTTCACGGCCAAGGATAAGTTCAGCGTTCCGGAGCATGTCCGCAATCAGAAGATGTCCAAATTTGCGAAGAAATTCCTGGTTTGGCAAGCCATCTGCACGTGCGGGAAGCGGAGTGCACCTTTCGTGACCCAGGACACGATGAACGGACAGGTGTACATAAAAGAGTGCCTCCAGAAGCGGCTGCTTCCTCTCCTGAAGGCCCACAACGTCCCAACAATCTTCTGGCCGGATTTGGCCTCATGCCACTACTCCAAGGACGTGCTGAAGTGGTATGCGGACAATAAGGTCAATTTCGTGCCGAAAATGTTCAACCCTCCCAACACTCCGGAGCTCCGCCCCATCGAGAAGTACTGGGCGATTATGAAGCAGCACTTTCTTAAACGACCTAAGGTAGTGAAGACAGTAGAGGAACTGAAGAAAGTATGGGTTTACATGCAAAAAACGGTTGATTCACAGGTTGTGCTGAATCTTATGGCCGGGGTTAAGGCCAAGGTGCGGGCATTTGCGTATGGACTGTAAATAAAATACGAGTAAAATGGTAAAATGAAGTTTAATAGTTATTTCTCAATCCCTGAAAATTTGATGGCAATCGGATGAAAACTCGAATTTTGCGAATCAATTTTGTGTGTGGCAATTTCATCGTGGACACCCTTCATCTTCGACCTCACCGTCTACCGAACGTGATAGCCTGGGTGCGTGCTTTACGTCCTGCACGTTACGAGCATACTGAACTCCTCCTTCGCTGCGAATAACCACCTTTGCACCGTCACGAGTCAAAACAGTGTATCTTTCCCTTGAAAACAACGGATCCATTTTACTTTTCCTTGAAATTGCAACCACTACCTTGTCTCCCGCTTTAATATTGGAGGGCTTGGCTTCTCTATGCTTGTCTGCGTAGCTTTTGCTTATGAGTTTCGCCAACCCATCCTTTTCTCGTACGTCCGACTCGTCTACTTCTTTAATGGACTTTGACTCCCATAGGGCCGGAAATGCTCCTCGGTACCTCCAACCCACCAAAAGCTCAAAGGGTGTTATTCCCAGTCTGGAATGAGGCTTTATTGTATTATGCACATGAACGTATCGATCCAGAGCAATTCTCCAGTTAACTCCATCCTCCTTGCTCCCTACCAGGGCTTTCAGGACCCACTGATTTTGGCGTTCGACTGCTCCGTTAGACTGGGCACTGAGAGGAATTGACTTGCGTACTCTTACCACTTTCTCTTCCCATTGATCTATAAATTCCGTGCAGCGGAATGGCGGCCCGTTGTCGCTTTGGATGATCATCGGGAGACCCCATGTTGCGAAAATTTTCATCAGAGCCGCATTTGTACTTCTCGCATCTATGCTTCGGATCTCCACGACCGACAGGAACCTGGAAAAGGTGTCAACTACTACCAGGAATTCTCCAGTGCCACATCCACATACTGTGAGGAAATCAATTTGTAAGATTTCCCATGGTCCTTCCAGAAGACTGCGGTATGAAA